CGGTCAAATTGGGATGAGAGTTAGGAAAGGATGGTGCATTTAGGGACTTTCATATTCAATGATGGTTATTCTTTTTCAAGCTGTGCTGTTTGGTGTTCTCAAAGCTCTTTAAGGGAAGCAATTCTTAGGAAGTCCCTTAAGGAAGTCCATGGTGGAGGCCTAGCCGGTCACTTTGGAAGAGACAAAACCTATGAATTGGCAAGCAAGAATTTCTATTGGCCAAAGATGTGGAAAAAGGTTTCAAGACTTGTTGAGGGTTGTAATACTTGTAAGCAATCCAAGATGACCTTACAAGCTCACGGACCATACATGCCTTTATCGATTCCAAGCTCACCATGGGAAGATGTAAGTATTGATTTCATTGTTGGCTTGCCGAGAACAAGACGAAATAATGATTCCATTATGGTTATAGTAGATAGATTCTCAAAAATGGCTCATTTTATTGCTTGTAACAAAACTAATGATGCATCTCATATTCTGAATTTGTACTTTGAAAATGTTGTAAAACTCCATGGAATTCCTAGGAGCATAGTGAGTGATAGGGATGTCAAGTTTTTGAGTCATTTTTGGAGGCATTTGTGGGCAAGGTTAGGAACTACCTTGAAGTTCAGCACGGCTTTTCATCCTCAAACAGATGGACAGAAACGTGGTTCAATCGAGGCCTTAGGACATTTTGCGAAGTTTGCTAAAGGGGAAAGTAGAATTGGTGATTTCTTTGTTGGCTCCATGCTGATTGCTTCAACAGTTCGAAGGAGTAAGAACCACTTAATTATTACTCCTTTTGAATTTAGTTTATGGAACTAATCCCACTTGTTCCTCTTTGATATTTGAGCAACGCACACTCTAGTATCCCCTCTAACTTAAAGGCCGAGGCTAGAGCTACTGAAATTGTCAAACTCCATGCTAGAGCAAAAGCACATATTGAGAAGAAGAACGAAGCCTACAAGATGCAAGCCAAGTTAAAACCTGTTGTGGAATTTAAAGAAGGTGACCTAGTGTGGGTTCACTTAAGGAAGGAACGATTCCCTTCTAAAAGAAAAATTAAACTTATGCCCAAAGCCGAGGGTCCTTACAAGATCATCAAGAAGGTAAACCAGAATGCTTACAAGGTAGAGCTGCCTCCGTCTTACAAGATTTCCCCTTCAATGTAGTGACTTAGCCAAATATAAGGAAGACACATGTCAACTTCTGACAAGTTTTAAATTTTCAAGAAGGGGAGAAATGCATGGAGGTCATCTAGCCTAGCCTTACAGGCTGTCCAGACATGGGCCTTGGTCTTGATTCCATAGTTGAACGTTAATGAAGACAGTCCAAGGTGAAGAGGGGCTTTGGTGGGAGTGGACATGTCAAGATCTGAAGCTACAGGCTCCTTGTAGTACAGCTCCTTTTAGGGCCATTTGGGTTCCTTCAAACCATCATCTTTGAAGACAACAATCAAGGAGCACTTGGTTGATCATTGACTATGAATTTCAGCTCATTTGTGTTGTTTTCAAACTTAGTTAGGTGTTCTTTGAATTGTGCCTTTGAATGAGTTTTTTCAAACTTAATTAGGTGTCTTTTGAATTGTGCCTTTGAAAACCTAGTTAGGTGTATCTTTGAATGTGTTGTTTTCAACCTAGTTAGGTATCCTTTGAAATTGTGTCTTTGAACAACACATTCAAAGGGAGTTTATGACTATCTCTTGTTTCCCTATATAAAGGGATTTTGTGTATTTTGAAAGGGAGATTTGGAATAACAAGAAAGTGCTAATCACATTTGGGTTTTATTAGTTTCCAAAAACTATTGGGTTTTGTTTGTTTCCAAAAACAATCATCTATCTTTTTTCATTTTAATCTTCACCATTAACTATCTTAGCCTTCCATCACATTTTGAATCAAGTTACTGTAGCACGGATGGTTACTGTAGCACGGATGCTTCTGAGTTCCTGTAGCAAGTTACTGTAGCACTCGTGTTTCTCTATCAAAACCACAGTCCTTTCCACCACGCCATCAGCTTCCCAAATAAATAATGATCACAAGGGTTTATTTTACCTTTGGCTAATGGTATGAGGAACTTCTTAGCCAACATATTCAGCCCTTTCTCACTAACGTGAGCCAGCCGCCTATGCCACAAATTTGGTGAAGCATCATCTGTAACTGTATTCAGTTGACCCGCACATATTATTACATGCGTCTTATACAGCGAGCAACATATTTTTCCTCTCGCCACCACCAAAGACCTTTTGGTGAGTTTCCAATTACTGTCACCTGTATGATTGTGATAGCCTTCCTTGTCCAGTACACTCATAGACAACAGGTTCAACCGAAGATCAAGAATATGTCTCACATTTTTAAGTGTTATGCACCGACACTTGTCTTTATGCAGATATCATAGATTTCCCACCACTTGCGAGACAACTATTATTCCCATTTTTTAATAGTGGCCCAAAATCTCCTGCTTTATAAGTGAAAGATTCCCTTTTTTGGAACACCGTGGTATGAAGACCGGAGTCTACTATCCACTCAGGTATTTGCATCTCACAATGACAGCCAAATCTGCATCTGAGTGACTAACACCTTACCATCTTTCTCCTGAGGCTGTAGGCAGATGTAATTTTTGTCATTCTTGTGTCTTCGTAGCAGATGTATTTCTGTCATTCTCTTGTCTTCGGTTTGCATGCTCCCGTTTGAGTAAATGACAATTTCTTTTGAGATGACCCTCCTTACCACAATTGTAACATTTTCTCATCTCTCTAGAGTTGGATCTACCACTTGACGTTACATGCCCTCGACCTCTACTCTTACTCCGGTCCCTATTCTTTGTGACAAGTGCTTGTGAACTGGTACTAACAACATCTCTTCTTCGTAGTTCTTCATTTAGTAGTATATTCTTTACCATAAATATTGTTACCACACCATTTGGAGCTAAGTTACTCAATGATACCACAAGAGTATCTTAACTGTACGGTAGAGATCCCAACAGTAGGCATGCTTGCATCTCGTCTTCTAATGACATACCGCTAACTGCTAACTCAGTTACGAGTCCTTCAAAATCGTTCAAGTGTTTTGTAATTGATCATCCCTCTATCAGCTTCAAGTTCATGACTTTACGCATCATGAAGACTTTTCCTCGAGCATTCGTAGCCTCATACATATTCTCTAATTTCTTCCAGAGAACTTGGGGATCTTTTTCATTTCCCACGTGATTGTACAGGCTAGCATCTATCCATTGGCGTATTGTACCCAATGTTCTGCTTTTTTAATTTGTCCCACTGCCTTTGTTTCATTTCTTCTGGCTTTGCACTGTCACCTTCAATTGGATCGTATAGATCTTTGCAATTGAGGAAGTCCTCCATTCTGGATTTCCACATTGAATAATTCGAATCAATCAATTTGATCATTGCCCCATCGTTAGCCATGTCGAATTCTGAATCTGACAAAAATTTTACTGTTCAGATTCAGAATTCGACATGGCTAACGATGGGGCAATGATCAAATTGACGGATTCGAATTATTCAATGTGGAAATCCAGAATGGAGGACTTCCTCAATTGCAAAGATCTGTACGATCCAATTGAAGATGACAATGCAAAGCCAGAAGAAATGAAACAAAAGCAGTGGGACAAATTGAAAAAGCAGACATTGGGTACAATACGCCAATGGATAATCTTCTTTGACAAAGTATAAAGACGTGAATGAGTTATACACGACTCATTCACAGAACTGCCTATAAAAGGAGGCAGACGAAGTGCATTTAAATGTACAAAAGCAAAAGATTAGAAATACACAATTAAGTGTAAAGAATTTTGGGAAAGGATTCCTAAAATTGGGAAAGAGAGAAAATAGTGAGGATTATAATTTGTGGTGTTTTTGAGAAACACTTAGAGTACCACTATTTTTGTAATCTCTTTTGTACCTACACTTAATTTTTTAGTAGAAAGAATTATTCGGAGGTTTTGTCCCGTTGACGTAAGCCATAACAGTTGAAGGTGTGAACACGTTAAATCTCGGTGTCTTTTATTTTTATCTGGCATTTACGGTAATTATTTAATTTTATCGTGGTTATTTATTTCTGGTGAATTCGATGGTTAATATCTAAAATTATATATCGTAATTTATTCTGATAGTCATTTTTCCGTATGATCCATGCTCTCGTCGATATTCAGTTTATAATTCTCTTCAATGCATATGTATAGGTTCTTTGTTGTAATTGGTATCTCTCTATTCTCCTTGCTGCGTTCATTTTATCAAACTTATTGCAGTTATTTCTTTTGTGATCTACCAAAATAAATAAAAAATAATAAATAAAATAAATAAAGAAGTATTGGTGTTTAAATTTATGGTTAAATTATTTTCATATCATATATTTTCTTATCCCTCAATTCAGTAATTGAAATATTTATGCCAAGACCGAGTCTTAAGTTCATGTTCTTGCATACAGGAATTTAGATCATATAAAAAATTATAATAATAATAATGTTCGTGAGAATTTCTTTACAAACAAAGCTTATCAGAGTATATTTAAACGGGAGATTAGAAATTTCTAAAAAATTTTGTTTGGGCTCTCAAATTTTCTAAAGTATGTGTTTGAGCTAATTAAGTATTTTATTCAGCTTATCACTATACCAAATGTTGTGGCTTATTTTGATGTTAGTTGGAGTAAAATATAATAAATTATTGTATCTTGAATAAGTGAAAAACTACTCCTCTTTTTGAGTGTTGGGGGAGAGCCGGGTGCCAGGAGCTCAGAGGAGGTAGGAATACCGCAGAAGGGCGGCGGGTGTGGGAGTGTGTGGTGCATGGAGGTTTCATTTCTTTTTGAACTTTATTAGGGCCAAGACGAGATAGTGGGGGCAAAAAAAAAAAAAAAAAAAAAAAAGAGTTAATTATGTTAAATAGGTTAAATTATTTTCATATCAAATTTCTATACCCTCAATCAGTAATTGAAATTATGCCAAGACGAGTCCTAAGTTCATGTTCTGCAAACGAATAATCATAAAAAAATAATAATAAAGTTCGGAGATTGCTTCAAACAAAGCTTATCAGAGTTATTTAAAAGGGTTAGAAATTTCTAAAAATTTTGTTTGGCTCTCAAATTTCTAAAAGAGTTGAGCAATAAGTATTATCAGTATATCACAACCAAATTGTGCTTGATGTAGTTGGGAAAAAAAAAATTGACGAAGTGAAACTACCTTTTGAGTGTGCGACCTCCAACTCAAATAAATACCCAAGGCCTTGGATTTTCAATATCAGTCTTTGAATTTATAGGCAAGACAGAGAAGTGGGGGCTGGTGTTATTAAGATGAGTCCAGCTTGCCAGATGAAATCCAATTCGAAGTCTCTCACACCAACTCAGAATCTCCTGCACAAAATTTGACATGAATTTAATTTTTATCATAAACACTGATATCCTCCTATGATGCACGGAAATTTCAAGTCATGGACGTTTCTGTGTTTCAGAAACTTTTTTGCATGTCTGTTTCCCATCTAAAATTTGTTTTTCCGTGTAAAATTATATTTTAAATGTTGTTTCCCCATATCGTTTCCAGGTTTCCACATTTCCTCGTTTCCATTTCTGTGCAACATATTATCCTCTTTAAAAATGATAAATACAAAATAAGTCTGTCATTAATTTAGACATGGAATAAAATAGCTACATGAAAACAATATGCAAAATGATAGAAAATAGGAAAACCTGAGCTAGTTTGCAAATGAGATACTTATTTAGATGAACCTAAGTTTCTGATGTGTTCAATAAATAACACACTGCAATAATCATATGCTCCTGTACTTATTATTTAGTGCCACGTTTTATTCCTTCAAAAATGTAACAGGCACTAAGGCAAACAGTTACACCTAGTCCATGTAGATGCCATCATAGCCAACAAACATAATCGACAAATTTTCTTTGCCCTTTCAACTTAGCTGCTATACATTTTCGTAATTGTTATTATGCCAAAAATGGTACAAGAAAGCACAATGATTTCTCATATTGAAAGACAATCCATTTGCCAATAATTGCTATCCGGAAATAAGTCAATCGGCAAAACACAAGTACCTTTATTAGAATGTTCTCTAAGCTGAGCAAGGGCTACCGCAATCTTCGCACCATGAAGAGCATTATTTTTCACGAGTGCAATGTCTAACAGTTAGTTAAAAAAAAATTAAATTTCTAAATCAATTACACAATGAATAGTACCGTTATAAACCTTATCAAAAATAATTTCATTTGCAAAATAAACAAATTGTTTTAATTATCACATTTAAAACTCATCTTTATTTCCCGTGGACACAAAATAAAAGGACCATGTGATGGAGAGTAGAAAGCCACAAAGATCCAAATTCAAAGACTCAAAGCTAAGAATTATGGTTCAGATTTAGAGAGCACTTGGTTCAGCCGATTTATATCTAAGTAAGTTATAGGTGTTTTGTAAAGATTTTAATGAGGTGCTAATTTCATCAATTACATTTTAGAGTTTTTTCATATTAACTGATAGCTGATTTGTATTTATAATTACATTTTAGACTTTTTTATTAATCTCATAAAAATAATTCTTAATAAAATTATATTTTTTAAATTAATATTTTTCATGATAATTTTACTTATAGCTCTTTAAAAATAATAATTTCCTATTAAATAATATTTTAAAAAATTTAATTCATATATGTACACACACACATTATACATCATAATATATGCAAATAATTATAACCTTAATGGTCATATTATTATTTTAACAGCAACCGCTATCAAAATTTTACCAAAAATCAATATTCATCAGCTGACTGCTATCAGCCACCAGCTATCAGCTAATATGAACAACTAAACCAAACAGGCCGTTAATATAAGCTTTATAGGATTTAATATGAACTACTTCATAGATATTCAGAGTTTAGTTTAAGTGTATATTTTCATAAATAAGTTGATGGTCAAGTAATTTAAGAATCAAGGGTAATTTTGTAATTTCCAGCTCTATTGGGAAATATGGCCTTCTATTCAAGAGTCTTTCTTTATATTTATTTTAAGTCTTAATTTTGAATCCTGTTGGTTTGGGATAACTATTATTCCTTTTTATTTGTTTTCAAGTCCATATCCTTATAGGATTAGACTTTAGGTCATTTTCTTAAAGGCTTAATGGAATAGAATAGAATAAAATAAGGAATATGATAAAGAATAGAATGGGAATAGGAATTCCAATTCCTATGTTCGGTAGGCAACATGGAATATAATTTTTCAAACCGTTTCTTTGTTTGGTTATATATATATTTTAAGGAGGTATGAGAAATTACTAAAAAGGCCAAAATAAGGACATATTTGAAATTTAAAAAAAAAAAAAAAGAAAAAAGAAGACTATTCCTTTTCCTGTTATTTTTCCATTTTTATTCCTATTCCCCAACCTCACTTATGCCAGTGAACAATATAATACAATGCGGAATTGGCATTGTATTCTCCGTTCCATTCAATGTAATGAAAGTGGCCTAGAGTTGTTATAAAATGCTTTTCAAAGGATTAGTACTAACTGAAGTCTATGAAATATCTGGGGCAGTGAATAGGCTGTGTTATTCGGTAAACAAAAAAAAATCAGCTTTATATGCTATTTCGAGTTGTGTGATGAAATTCAACTCAACACGTGATGCCTATGGATAAATTGGGTGTGATCCAAGAACACTTTAAGTGTGAAGCCTAAAAATTACCCCTTTATTCTACCACTCATTACTGCTCACAGCCCCTCAATTCCTCCATAAACAGTCCCATAACCCTACTTTTGTGTTCTCTTTGCTTCTTTAACCTATTTCCATACATTCCCTAATTGTTTCTCCTACATACATGGGCACTCTAGCCCTTTACTAAACCCCAAAATGACCTGTTTTAACCATCCTCACTAAGCCATCTGATGTCCCCATGAAACTGAATTTCAAAAGAAAGATATTGAGTTAAGAATAAAAGAAAGGATACTTGCAGCCAGTGAGGCACCTCCAGTAATTTCATTCACTCTAGCAAGCAAGAAAGGGGTTTCAGCATTGCCAGTTATCTTCTTTTCCCTGAAGATCCAGTCCAATTTTATGCAAATTAAAGCCAAATTTATTACAAAGACAATATTATTAGACAATGAACATAGCACGTAGATATTTAATGAGCCAAAGACACTTTCAACCTGGCTTCAGTGATGGCAATTTGTATGGCAGACTCAATCAAGTTTCCAGAAGCTGAGTGTTCTTTTGGGATGGGAACAGCAATCAGAATTCCAGTCCCTAGCTTAAGTTTCGTATTAACATCTGCAGTTAAACAAAACAAAAAAAAAAATAAAATTAATTTGATTCTGACTAGGGAAATTTGGCCACATGAACTTTGACACTAATCAATTGAGTTCTCTTAATTTGAATTGATTAAACCACCAAGCTCTCATATTTAGTCAATTGAGTCCCTGGCCAGGTGACGCTAGGCAAAACCATTAGTAGTATTGGAGTAGAGGTTTCTTATCAGGGGGAGAAAAAGATGGGACCCACTTGTAGCTGTCAGCTTAAAGACGACACAGATGTTATTATTAAGAAATTAATAGCAGAAATTTTACACTTTTATCATTCCCATGTATGCTTATCTCAGCCATGAAAACATGATTGTTTAAAGAAGACCTAACATCCACCACTATCATGTGCTGTCACGTATCTGGCTGGGTACTCGACTGACTAAAAATAAGAATTAAAGAGTTTAATTGATCCAAACTAAAGTAAAAGAACTCAATTGACCAAAATGCCAAAATTTAGCAAAATGGGATCCACCCCCACCCCAAAACTAGAAAGGGAGGAGATAAAGGTTAAATAAACAGACTTCTTCACTAACCTATCAGCCGAGCACAGTCCTCTGGAGTGTCCACCCGACAAGGAGCCTAGATTAGAGCCACAAATCAAACAGCAAATTTATTGGAAGAAATTGAATTTTAAACAAATAATTTTACATATAAATACTCGCACAAATTAATAGATGTGAATGGCTTTACACTTCTTTTGCATGCAGCACAAGTTTTTAAGATTTAATTTTCATGCTTGGATTCCTTTAGTAAATAATAACTATAATATAACTTCCATTATCCCTGAGATAACTATAATATAACTTCCATTATCCCTGAGACTATGTCAACATACTTCTTTACAGGAAAAGTCCAAGTCCTAACTGTAACTAAAGTCCATCTTCAGAGAGAAAAAGCTTTGATTATTGGTACCTTACAGCCACTTGTTTCCGTGAAAAAAGCAGGGAACTCGTCGGTCTTATAAGCAGCAACACAAACACCTTGAGTTTCCTGTGATGAAACAGGTATGAGATTTATCATCAAAGGCTGAATAGCTGACAACAATATTTAGAGACATAAATGTTATATGTACCAAATATTCAAGGGTCCTGGGAATATCTAATATAGATTTTACTCCAGCAGAGATAACAGCAACTGGAGTCCTGCCAAGCTCAGTAAGATCAGATGATATATCCATTGCTGCCAATGCATGGAAAAAAAGTCCAATTTCAACAATCAGCAAATGTTGAATAATAATTATGTTTCTATAATTCAATGTTAATTTCAAAAGAAAACAATTCAAAAGATAATCAGTAGGTTACTAATACATTTGTCTCTAATATCATACTGAAAATAATTGCAGCCTCATACCTTTATTATGTTATGTAATGAACAACTTGCTGCTTTTTATCAGTGATAATATTATATATACCAAAACTGGGTCCTATGTTACTGTTCTAGGAATAATATTTTGACCGTTTTCCCCTTGAAACTAAATTATTTTTACTTCTAGCACAACAATACTCTCTCCATTTCTCCATCATCTAGGCAACCCATATATTTTTCATCCATCAGCAAACCAAACCTTTCTTTTTAACTGATCATCAATAGTTCATTCATGTATTTTTCATCTTCTTTATCGCCCTAATAAATTATGCCTTTTCCTACTAGTTACTACCTTGCTAAACCGACAATTCATCAGCATCCAACCACCTATTCTATCATGGATAAAAACATTTAAACACCATAAATTTTATCAATTCTCAACAATTTGCACCTCAGGAAAAACACGGAAAATTTACTATTGGTTCAATATTCAAGGGTGGACAAGCTTGCATGTTACAAGCCAAGACACCTTTTTCATCAGCTTTATATCTTGCAATAAAAAATCACAAAAAAAACAAATGAACTTATATTAAGTTTGAAAATAGATAACAAGAATTTAATAATTCAAATAAGATTAAGATAGAATTTAAATGAAATCTCAATTCAAAATCAATATTAATTAAATTAAAATAAAAATAAAAATAAAAATAAGCTGAACAAGCTCTTAAAATATAAATTACATATAGATAAAAATAGCTGAGATAACTTATTAGAATCAAAGATTTTTTAGGTAGATCGAAAAATTAAAAAAAAAAAAAAGTAGATGCCAAGGTTTCAACTTCTATTTTCATTATTAATTTACAACGGACTTATATTCTTGAAAATATAAGAACTTCTATATTTGACAACTAACTTTTTTTTTTTTTTTTTTGAAAAAAAAAATATCCCAGCTTTTCTATCTGTCTCGCAATAAAAAATCCACAAAACAAAAAAACAATGAACTTATCATTCAACTTTGACACAATAGATAACCACAGAAATTTAATATATTCAAATATAATGTATTTAATGATTTAGAATTTTTATAATTTGTGAAATCTCAATTCAAAATCTCATTATAATTAAGATTAAAAAATTTAAAAATAATATATATAATAAAAATAAATCTGAAACAAGCTCTTAAAAATATATAAATTATTCATTTATAGAATATATATAAATAGCTAGAGATAATTAATATAGAAATACCAAGATTTTGAAGGTAGATCCGAAAAAATTAAACAAAAAAAAAAAAAAAAAGTAAGATTTGCCTCAATGGTTTTCAAACTCTTTATTTCATTTTAATTTTACTATACGGACGTGGGTTTAGTATTTCTTTGATAAATTATTCAAGAATTGCTAGTATTTGAAACAACTTTTTTTTTTTTGTTTTTGAATATAATAAAATGTTCTTATAGTTTTAAAAGTTTCATTTCTTTCATATCTCGCATTTTCCTCAGATGCTTCAGTCTACTAAACTATAAAATTATATATTTTTTTTTTTTTTTTTTGAAAAAAAAAATGTTCTTATATTTTAAAAGTTTTTCATTCTTTTATTTTCATATCTCTGCATTTACCCAAACTTCAGTCTACAACTATAAAAAATTCTCAATAGCTAATAGTAATATTTAGTGATCATTTTATGTTTTTCTCCTTATCCCATCTCAATCTTTGTATCCATAAAATTACCTCATCACTTGCCAAAAAAAAAAAGCACATTTGTTGCTACCTTGCAATTTTTCTTGATATGTTTAACCTGTTAATCATTAGAAAGATAAAATATTCCAAATCTCGCAAGAACAATCCTGCAGCATTGTGTAGCAATTTTATGATTGCTAACTCTGTTTTTAATTAGATTTCATCTCCTACTTATTAAGCCAAATCAAAAACTATTCTATAGCCAAATTGTGACAAACTCAACAACACTGCACCAACTTCATCGGAGATTCAAGAAATTCTAAATATAAATGAACATCCGCACATGTATACACACAGAGACAGACAGATACGCTATTGTTTTGCTAGTTGCAACATAAAATAATGGCAGATATCAGCTTTCAGTCTTTTTTATATATACATAATGAATAACTCTTCTTCTATACCCCATGCCAAATCATTAAAATGGATCCGGATCAATCAAAGACATAATAAACACATTTCTGTGGTATAACATTATTTCTGTGGTATAACATTAGATGGAACAGAAACGTACTATGCTCGCCATGTCTATGTACTCCTCCAGTTCCTCCAGTAACAAACACAGAAATACCAACCTGAAAGATTTTTCATAAACAAATCTTAGTGAAACCTACATATAGGCGATACTAGAAAAGGAATACTAAAAAAAAGGGTGTAAATTGTTTATGACTGAGAACCATTGAAGCAAAATACATGGTTGCAGAAACAGTAGTTGCACCATTCCCTCTGGTGGTCACCTAGAAAAAGCATAAGCAAGAATGTAACGTTAGCTGCAAAAGTTAACAGGAAAATTAAAATTACAGCAATGTTTAAAGGAATTTCACTGGTCACAAATTTATTGATATACAATAATGATTATCATTTTCAAAAAATTAAATAAATAAATAAAACCAATGTAAATCTAGGTATAAAATTATTAGTGAATCATCCATGTTCAGTTTTAGAAGCCACAAGTTTAGAAATGACTAATCACGTTTAGACACATCATGGGTACTTTTAAACTGCTCCTAGAATGACTTCAGAAACTATTGATCACAATCACAGTCAGTTATAGCTAATTTTAGGTCAATTTTTCATGGCCCTCTCTCTTAGAAGTTTAGTAACAAAAATTTCAGGAATAACTTCATAAATTTTCAATGAACGGGTCTAATTTCATTCTTACATGTTATACTGGGTCAAAGTTTTCAACTATATGCCATCAAATCAAATCTATTAAATGCGATTACTCATTTCTTTTAGTTTTTGGAAAGAAATGATAATAAAGCTACTTACAACATGCACAATGTCCCTCCTTGCAGTCTTTCGTGCTTTACTTCCCAGAGTAGCAAGTCTCTCCAGCTCTTCTATGCTTAAACCTAAATAAATAGCTTACGAATATTAAATATTTACATAAAAAAAATGTAGAATATACCAAAAAAGGTTACATTTGTTGTAGTGGCAGGAGAAGTACCGATTTATTCAATTTGTCTTCATTATTCATGCAAGTTTTGTTCCTTTTTTTTTCTTTTTTTTTTTTTTTTTTTTTTGTTCGTGCTTTACTATCCGCGGAGGAGTAGCGGCTCTCCAGCTCTTCTGAGTGCTTAAACCTAAATGAAATAGCCTTACGAATGAGTTAGAATAGTGTTACATGTTAAGAAAAAAAAGTGTAGAATATAGCCGGAGGAAAAAGGTTGGACATTTGTTGTAGTGGGGCAGGGAAGAGGAGTACCGATTATTCAATTTGGTCTTCATTTATTCATGGCAATTTTGTTCCTTTTTTTTTCTTTTGTTTTTTTTTTTTTTTTTTTGGGGTTGGGGCAGGACACAGAGGGAAAAATATACATAATAAGAGGGCACCTTTGAGACTAATTCTAATGCATATTGTAAAAATATAAGAGTTTTAAGAATGTTCAAAAAACCTATACTGCCAATGGTATGCCATCTAAAAATTGCAACCCCAATCCCAGTCAGCAGCGACCAAACTGCATCCCATTTTTTTTTTTTTTTTTTTTTTTTTTTTTTTTTGGGTTGGGGCAGGACACAGAGAAAATATACATAATAAGAGGAATTGAGACAATCTAATTGCAATTGTAAAATATAAGAGTTTTAGATTCAAACCTATGCATGGTATGCCATCTAAAATTGCAATAGTAGCAGGAACTGCTCCATTCTTTCTCACAATTGCCTCCACCTCTCTTGCTGTCTCCAAATTTTGAGGATATGGCATCCCTGAACATAAGTAACGAAATGTGCAATATCCAAACTTAAATTGAAACTTATAAAGTTAGCCTAATCAATACAAATTACCAAAGCTTTCATTAACAACCATAGTCTGCATAGAAAATTTAAGCCCTAGAATTCTAAAATAGGCTTCAGAGTTCATTAACATTCCAATTGAAAAACAGAGCCAAAACAAAAACAAAGAGTGAGAACAGAGTACTGAATTGGGGTTACCATGGGATATAATAGTGGATTCTACGGCAACAACAGGTTGACCAGATGACAAAGCTCGAGAAACCTCTGGAGATAACTTCACCAATCTTCCAATCTACAAAACCAAAAATCAGATTAATTAGAATCATCATTCTTAAAACCTTAACTATATAGAGAGAAAGGGGGGACAGAATTGCCTTAGAGTTTGAGTCTGTAGGGCTCAGATGTCCTTGAAGATGGGATAATCTTGACATAGCTGAAGACGTCGTCATTTTGGAACTGTAATTTCAACAGCACAAACACTCGAAACTCTCTTCGGTAAAGGTCGCAGTTTGAGTATGCCAGAGTAATTTAGTGCATGAAAAATTAGTTCGCTGATGAAACGAACTTGCCTTCTAATGTACCGTATTCTAAACCCTGCTGGTTTGATTCGTTTGAAGTAATCATCAATTAATACCTTTTCTTACAGATGAATTCAAAATGTAAAATTTATTTATAAATGAAGTCATGATAAATAAATTTTGAATGTTTAGAATAAACTCAAAGCTGAAATTCATTTGATTTTATTTTCTAGATTAGAATAATAATGTAGAAGGATGAGAGAATTATTGATTTTGTCATAAGGTTTTGTATTAGTTTGTGGAATTCATTTGAAAATATCATCTTTTCTAATAAAATTTGGTTTCATTATAGTTAATTTCATAGAATTAAATTTGTATAATTTAAAGCTTCAATTTTTTGTATCAAATACAAAAATTTAGATTTATCAAATAATTCCATAAATTTTTACCGAATTCATTTATTTCAAATAAGATCTAAATCTAAATTAATGGTTTGAAAAAAAAAATTAAAACCAAATCATACTATCAAAAATTATAATTAAATCAAATTTTTAGTGGCGATTTGGTTCAATTTAATTTGATTTTACAGTTTAAAAGAAAAAAAAAAAAAACTTCCTCATTGATTAAGGGTTAATAGTATATTGAATATAACAAATGGATTATTACAAATAATTATATAAAATACACATGATTTTAAATAATTGTTCAAAATTTTTAAATTAATTTTTTATTGATTTACTCCGGGCACAATCCAAAAAATTTATATATACATAATGCAATAAGACATTAATTAAACAATTTATTTATATAGAATTTAAATATTGATTTAATTTTACATTTATTTTTAAAAAAAGTTATGAAAAAGCTATAGTTTCACCTATGTTTAGCTTGTACATAACGTGCTGCAATATATTTTCCATGAAAAATCTTTAACATTTGAAATTTTCATAAAATAATTATATAAATTACCTGACTAACTTTTAATGATAAATAATTCATTTCAATTTTTGAATGGAAATTTCCTTTGCTTGCTTACTTTTATATTAGACCTAATGCATAAATTTATCTTTGAAGTTAACATTTTTAACCATGTAGCACCTTTAAATTTGCTACCCCTGAAGTTTTTCAATGTGAACTATACATCTTGCTATATTGGCAAAGCACGCATGAGCGCCAAATGCTCGAGGGAGAGTGAAAGGCCTTTGGTGTTGCCTACATTGGACTTCCAACGATTATAATCCCATTTATATCACTTTGATTCTCTCTCTCTCTCTCTACAAGTGTAGCTCTAAATTAAAAGCTTACCATTTAAGGAAAATTTGAATCCATTAATAGAGTTGCAACTATATGTGGTCATTGTTGTTAAAGAAATTAGAGTTCTTGTTATGGTGTTTATGGTTCTTTAAGCACTTCAAGGAAATTACGATTTTGTAAATGGATAATCGACTAGATTTTGAAATTCCATTATTTTGGGGACACAGTAATTGTAAACGCTCAATTTTTGCCTTAACAAAAGGACTAAATGATGATAACCTTTTTTTGCCATAAAATGAAATCAGGATGTCTGATTGCTTTCATTCTTGGACCAATGGTCCATGTCTAAGAAAAATGAAACCTTTGACCATTTTTATTTTTTCAGATTTCTAAGGATTTCACATCAAAACTGGGCTTGGGAAGCGCCAAGGGTTCTCTCGGGATGCGTCCCGATGCATTGTCTCATTTTGTATTCCATCCAAACCGATTTAATAAAAATGGGTCCGACCCGTTTAGGGCCCACCAGTGGCCCATGCCACTTAATCCCTAAATAAAGGCCACCTCATCTACCTATTTAACTATAAATAGGCTAAGGATTTAAGAGATCAAGGGAGGGTTTTTTATCACAAGGGAGAAATTATTGCATTTTTTTCTTCTCATTCTTATTTCAAGATACAACTTATGATTATAGCTTGAATCTTGATGATTATTCATTAGTTTTGATTAAGCTTCCCTATACTTTGTGATCAAATACCCACAAACACTCTCATTGGGTTTCTTCGTTCATTTTCCACCCAAATCTTTGGATTTTCTCCAAACAAGGTAACCTTTGAGAGTCCTAACCTCTTTTCTTCATCTTTTTCTCTTTCTTGTGTTTTAAAAACACCTACTTTACATTGGTTATGACGGAAACCCATGATCAACCAAACACATCTGACTGTGCAAGTAGTGGTGCACACCACTAGTCCATGGCGTCATGCCACTACGTATGGCACATGCTACTACTGGCCAGTCCAATAATGATTTAAAGTTGTTCTGAGATTTCTGATAAGGGACATATCTGCACGCCACTACGTGTGTCGCACGCCACTTCTAAAGGTGCACGGACCTTCATTTTAGAAACTTAGAAACTTTATACTAATAAAATATCTATGATTACAGGATCCATTCGAGTTAAGCACTAAGCATTCTTGCTTTTTATCGCATAAATGACTCATTTTGGCCGAAATAGCAAATAAAGAACAAGAAATGGGTAGTGATTCATAGTTATTCATCCTTCATCATGAACATCAAATTTTTAAACTCAAATCTTGTGTTTTAAGTTGAAAATAAATGCTTTTATCTTTATGTCCTTTACTTTTCTACCATTTAAATTTCTTGAATTTAAATTCTAACCTATTTACATTTATGCACTTTTATTATTATGTTGCTCTTTGCTTAATGTGCTAACCATTAATTATTGATGTTGCTAACATTCATTTTAACCTTTATGTTTTCATTTGTTCATTGATTATTCTGTGTATGTATGATTTATGATTTCCTATTGCTTATTTCTTTATGGATGGTTCCTAGCTTTTTAATATTGGGCATTATGTAAAGGGTCTATAATGGACCCTATTAATTGCAAATGTGTAATTATTTATCGGTTTGGAAAATTTTATAGGGATAAAGGGTAGAATGTAAAACTAGATTATTAGTTGTAACTCTATTCTTCTCCCTCTTTCTTTGGATGACTTTAACCTACGCTTTGTATAATTGTTATTATTCATGATTGCCATATTTTCTAAAAATGCATTAAAACATAGTTTTCATCTCAACTAAAAGTTAGTCATAGTATTGGAATTGTGAATGATCGGACAAATAAAAGGAGGCCAATTTCTAACTGGGCAGTCTAGGTACCTAACACCTTCCCATGACCGTACCAAACTTCCTTACCTAGTCTCTAGTTAAAACCGGATTGACCATTTCTAAAGAAATAGACAATTCGAGTATTTTCCCTAAAGAGGGTGGCGACTCCAAAAATAAGATTCTTACCAAAGTAAGAACCGTTTTCTAAAAATCCCTTTTTCAAAATAAGGTCGTACCTAAAGATGTTCAAGGGTTTAATAAAAAGAAAACTAATTTTTTGTAAAAAAATAAATCTAAGCCTGTTTTCCCCTATCTCTAAATGACGTGTCTTCAGTCTGGCAACTCCACTAGCCACTACTAAAAAACCGCATTTTAGCAACTGCATTTCGTGACTGACATGAAACTGTCGCTATTTAGCGACAGATTAATGACCGAAAACGAGAGAAATTTAATATGAAACTTGTGTACTATTACTAACCGAATCAGAGAATATTAGCGACAAAATTAGCAACCACTATAGTAACGGCCTCTTTAGCCATCGCTCTTTTTAGTACAAATAATTGACGACAACCAGAGCTACCGATCAGCGACTAATCAGTGATAGAATAGCGATGGAATAGCGACATATGAAAATTCGTCGCTATATTTGGCGCCACATATTTGGCGGGAATTATTAGTGACCATGTGGCAATAGCTGCGATGACCAATATTCCAAATTTTTTAGTGACTGATCAGAGACCGATTTGATAACATAGCGACAGAATTTATTCACCACGTCAATTAAAATAGCGACCGATATGTGGGTCGCTAATTTTTTAGGGCGATTTAGTCGCTTCCTCTCTCGCGCGAGTCTCACTCCTCTCTCCCTCTCTGTCTCCTGTCTCCCTCTCTGTCTCCCACCCTCTGTCTCACTCCAGCACCGGTGAAGAGCGCCGCTGGTCTCCCTGCCGTCGAGCAGCACTGCAGGTAAGTAATTTAATATTTATTTTTTTTCGTACTTAGTAGCTATAATTTTTATTGTTGTGTTTTAATTTTTTTTTAATTTTGTGTTTGCATTTCATTTTATGTCGATTTTCTTTGTAGTTTAAGTTAGTTGTTTGTAGTTTTAGTTAGTTGTTTGTTGTTCTTAGTTTTAGTTAGTTGTTTGCTTTATTTGGGTTTTTGTATGTTTTTGGTCTGTTTTTTGTTTGGTTCTTGTTTTGTTTGTAAAATTGATATGTTTATGTTGTTTTTGTGGTTTTGTTGGTTCTTTTTTGTAGTTAAAAGTTCTGACTTTGCATTTGATTGTGTATTTTGGGGTTTAATATTTCATTGTTTGTTATTTTTTAGCTATTAGGTTGCAAATTTGAGTTTTGTTTCAATTTCAATATAAAAATATTGATGAAAATTTTTCTTTTTGTTAAATTTCTACTTTAATTTGAGTTTGTTAATAAAATGGTTTGCTAATTTGTTTGTTAATGAAAATGAATTTTGGATGTTTAGTTAATTTGTTAATGTATTTGTTAATAAAAATGGTTTTTAGGATAGTTAGTTTGTTAATTAATTAGTTTTCAATGTTACTTTGTTAATTAGGTCAGTTTTTTAATTAGTTTACTTTGTTAATTTGGTTAGTTTTTTTTGTTAATGTTAGTTTGTTAATTACATTACCTTTATAATTGCTTTCTGAATTTTAGTTAATTAATATTCTACTTAATTTGCTAAAAAAGATTCGTTTAAAATTTGCAGATTTAAGCATCTCACCAAATTTGTGAAATCTCACAAATCCGATACTCATTTTCTTTCTCTTTCTCACATTATGTAGTAATAAAAAATAGGAAAGAAATTAGGAAAGTAATAAAAAATAAATTAGAGAAAGCATAAACTTAATAATTCTAATCTAATGAATAAAACTTAATGATCACATAAACTTAATTAGAATAGTGATAAAAAAGAATTTTATCTTAAGCTATATTTTTATTATAACGTAAGTATTGTACTAATTCTAGCTTTTGATTTCGGAA